TCACTTGAGGGAGGCCAGCTCAATCCAGAAAAGCAATATGAAAATTCAGAATACCTTTCTTGAAATGTTTGTATTCTCAAATATTTTAAAATATGCTCTGTGAACTCAGTGGAGTAGTGGTATGATACGATATAAGGACTGGGTTTTTTCATAGCAGGTATGGATGCCATTATTTGCCTCGCACAAAAAATGAATGGGATGTTCATTGTTGCCTTAACTTTCAAATAAAGCAACATAGAGATAACCAGGCAATAGACCAAAGGAGAGGCTGGATCTTTTTTTTAAAATAGCATACCTATCTCAGAGTAGAAAATAAATACAGTTAATCCTCAACTTATTATTATTGAGCCCAACGTTTCTGTTATTAAGTGAGATATTTGTTAAGTGAGTTGTGCCCCATTTATGACTTTTCTTGCCACCATTGTTAAGTGAATCACTGCAGTTGATGAGTTAGTAACAAGGTTCTTAAGTGAATCTAGCTTCCCCCATTGACTTTCCTTGTCAGAAAGGGTACAAAAGGAGATCATGTGATCTCACTGCAACCGTCATAAATGAGTCAGTTGCCAAGCGCCTGAATTTTGATCACATGACCATGGGGATGCTGTAAAGGTCGTAACTATGAAAAACTGTCATCAGTCACATTTTTCAGTGCTGTTGCAATTTGAACGGTGACTAAGTGAACTGTTGTAAGTCAAGGATTTAATAGCACATCTTTGTAAGATTGCTAGCACTTTTCATTTAGTTTTTCATAGCTCAATGTACTTAACATATTGAACTTCTGCAGACTGAAGTACTGTAGTTCAATGGAATTTAAGACTGAATCTCCTTTGAGTTTGACTTGATTCAATAAACTGAGGTTTGTAATTTCCTTGGCACTTATGAGTTGTCATTACCATTTTGTGGATCCCCCCCCCCCCAAAATAATAATTCCAAGTCTTAACCAAGAACTCCGAGGTTCTCCATCAAATTACTGACCTGGCCTAGGACTTTTGAGACCAGCCAGAGATGGCTAAGTCACTGGGTCACTACAGTATTTATTCCAATGTAAATATACAGTATTTGTTGTTGGTATAATGTTTTTTTCCACAAAGTTGCTTTACTGAATATAAATAAGGCTAAATGTAAAAAAGTTAATGAAAGTGTTTGACCATTGCTGGGAATGCTCAAACTAAAAAAAAAAAAAAAGCCACTCATTCTTATTGGTTAGTTTCCTGCAGGATGTCCTATTCTTTTCATGGGATCATATTGGTGATTTGCATATTCTCTGTGTTTCTCTGAGGGAAAAGTTTATTAAAAGCCGTACTGGCTATATATAAACACAATGAATTGGCTGTTTAAGTATTTCATTCAAGGGTGATTTGTTATTTTCAGACTTACATGGAATTGTAACGTTTTTCAAACAATTCATTGCTAGGCAGACTATATTTCTCTGCATTTTTTACTTTTGCAATTCAGAAGATAAAATTAGCACCATGAAATATGTTTTGGCAGATGCTTCAGCTGGTCCAGAACAAAGTCAGATACAATTCAATTCATGCTCCAGGTTTGTTTTAGGGATAACTGACTAAGTCAATATTAAAGCTGATACAAAAATTAGGGATTGTATCATTATTTTTCATAGGGGTACAGAAAAACTGCACTGAATTCTTCCTCCTAAAATATGCATGTTTTAAAAAAATGTTCTGGTTTGGTCTGAATCAGATCAAGGCAATTTATTACTAAACACACAAGAACACTTTGATTTAGATGTTCTTCAAGAATGAATAGTCTCTAGCAAAACAGTTTGTGCACTCCTCAGAAACACTAGTAGTTCTTTTCACAGTGGTATGCCTGCAGAGAAAAGACAAATCTAATTCTGGGGGAGAAATTGAACAGGTTTGGTTATAAAACTATCTGAGGTAAAGCATATTATTTTTCTGAGTATTGTATTTCATTTTCTGTAATTATCTTCTTGATTCCCCTCTGCTCCTTCCTGATTGAAACTGGTCATTATGCAGCAGTTTTTATCCTAATTGAATCTCTTCTTTATTCCTTGGAGAAAAAAAATGTTTCCTCATAATTAAGACTAATATGAGACCAAGCATATCGCATAATCTTAATTGGATTTATCCTTAGAGTACTTGCTAATGATACTTTAGAGACTCTAACAGCCCTTGACTTCTTCATAAAAATGTAGAGTTCGTGATTTAACTGATAATATATCTGAGCTGTGAACCAGGATGTTCCATCTTCCAATTTCTCCATAGCTATACAACTTTGGCAACATGTGTACTAAAATTGGAATAATGCAGGAAAATTTGCATGATCACATAGGCACTCTGGCTGTTTTGAGTGTACAAACATTGTCAATTGCTTAGAGTTCCAAAGGATTTAGCTGTACTGTATACAAGTTGAACAAACAAAAAACTGAGCTTTAAATCCCTCTTAGCTTGAGATTAATTATGAAGAGATGGCCAAATCTCTGTAAAATGGATATATTATGGTCAGTTCACATTTACTATTTCTCTTACTGTTGTGCTTTGAATGCAGCTCTTTTTCCAGATGGCACCCAGGATTGTTTATAGTTAGTTCAATGTCAGTTTAATTATTTAATTTTGATTCTGAAGGATAGCTATTAGGGAGAAGTGGAGAGGATACAAATATGAATTGTTGTGTGGTTATAAAGAAATCAACTTTGGAAACAGAGAAGAATTCAGTGAGCCATTAAAGGAAGGCTTGCAGAAAATATTACACTGTCCTGAAAGAAACTCAAACTTCTGGCTTTGAAAAGAAAACAAACTTTGCCTTTACTGTATGATGTGATCCACAGAAGTTTAGTAAAGTCTTTTAAGATTTGGTTACTTATTAAAATAAAGTGCATTGTTGTCTAAAGGAAAGAAGAAAAAGGAAGTGGAAGAGCAGCTGAGAATAGATGTGTTACAATGGCATTGATGGTGGAGCTATGAAGAGCGAAAGTGAGATAATGGGGAAGCTGAAAGGCCACAGTTAGTCCTCGACTTACAACAGTTTGTTTAGTGACTGTTCAAAGTTACAACAGCACTGAAAAAGGCAACTTATGACCAGGGGTGGGATATGACAGGGTTAACTCCCGGTTCGGTGATTTACAAGGTTCGGTGATTTATGATGTGCTTCCCTGCACGCTGCGCCCACATTCCTGTAAATCATCATCAGTATGCTGCGTGCAGAGATGCAGCCTTTGAAACAGCCCTCTTTTCCTGCTTTTTTAACTGGAGCTGTGCCTCGCACAGCAGCTGAAGTTGAAAAATCAGCAAATAAAGGTCAGGTAAGAGCCTGGGTGGGCAGGTGGGCAAAAACATCAGCAGACATAGAACTGGTTCTATGTCTGCTGCTCTTCAGAGCTACCAGTTCTACAGAGGTGGACAGAACCAGTAGAAACCCACCCCTGCTTGTGACTGTTTTTCACACTTAGAACTGTTGTAGCATCCCCAAGGTCACGATGCTTGGTAAACTGGTTCATATTTACAACCTAGGTAGATATTACCTCGTTGATGACCCTCAATCTGCCAAAGACCTTGAAGTTCTCATATTGAATGACCTAAGCGCCAGAGCTCACTGCAACAACATCGCAAAAAAGGCTTTAAGAGTTGTAAATCTGATCTTACGCAGCTTCTCCTCTGGTAATACTGATTTGCAAACTAGGGCATACACAACCTTTGCTGGACCAATACAGGAATACAGCTCCACTGTCTGGAATCCACACTGTATATCAGACATAAATACAATTGAGCGAGTCCAGAAGTATTTTACCAGAAGAGTACTACATTCCTCTGTTCGCAATAGAATACCCTACACCACCAGACTTGAGATTCTAGGCTTAGACAACCTTGAACTATGCCAGCTAAGATTGGAGTTAAGCATAATACATAAAATCATATGTTACAACATCTTACCAGTTAATGAATATTTCAGCAATGCCAAAATTCACATAACAAATGTCTTGCTTGGCAACAGAAATTGTGATCGTAAGTGAAGGATTACCTGTATTTTGGGGATGACAACTCTGGTCCTTACTTCTAGGTTGTGTTTGCTCATAAGCCACTGGAGAAAGAGATGTACCCACTGGTGGCCAAGGATCTGAACAACTTAATTATCACTGCTGGGGATCATGAAGAAATGGGTAGCAGCTGCCATTGTTATTCGAGAACAGAAGTGGCCAAAATAAGAGACAAAGATGAATGAAAATGTGTGGAGTGAACCATGGCAGCCTATGTGTGTTGAGTAAAATTGGTGTGTCTAAGTTCAAATGTAGTACAAAGTCTGAGGCATCTTGTGTATTATTTCCACATTTCATTGTGTACCCCTGGCTTGACTGAAATTGTGACTCTTGTTTTGAGCATGAGATTGATCTTGAGGCAGTTTTTCTTTCCTTTTTTTAAAAAAAATCCTACCGGAAAAACGTAAATGCAATGACAGTCTCTAACAATATCAGAGACATAGTTGCTACGTTCCTGTACTAATTTCAATATCCATTATTGTTTAATGTAATTGTTAGCATGAAGCTTATCAATTAAATTTTTACCATCCCTCAAACATTGCCACTAAGTGTCTCGTGAGAGGAAAAGGAAGAAGTTGGTAAGCCCATCCCAGATATCTTCTCAAATGGATTTGTACCTCCTACTTCACAGTATCTTCTTTTCAATTACTCTGTGGGAATAGATATTTATTGTATTGTTTATTGTATTTTTATTTACAATTAGATGCCCTTCAATCCCTGACACGCTTCAATGGCTCTTCTTATAATCCTGACCCTCATTGGTGCCTCTCTGCTTCTCTTCCTTTAAATTCACAAAATGTACAGTCCTTCAAAAATCACCAAGATTAGCTTTAAGCCACCTTGGGTTTATGAGAGGAGAGAAAAGGGAGAAAGGAAAAGACATACTTGGTTGACCTTGTTCAGTATAGCCAGGCCTCCAGCCCTCAGGTACACAGTTGGTAGGCAGCATGTGAAACACAAATCACAATGCAGATTGATTTTGCATAGTATCTTACCATTTCCACTTGGAAATCAGAGTCCATCATGATATAATTGAATAACAAAAGTCCATTCCTCCATTTTGAGAGCAAGCCAGTTGTGTGTGCAATACAGCTAAGATAGTGTTTGCATTAAATGCATATTTAATTCCTCTGAATATACCTCACAGGAAACAGAATGTCGTAAATAAAACATCTATCTCTTTCTAGGCTAAAGGCTGACTCATCTCACTATTGAAGGCTTCCATTCATTTCTTCAGCTCATACCACATCTAACCTCTAGACTGTATGAGAAAATGCTGCAAATTGACCCTAAGACAGTATCATGGCACAAAGCAGCCATGGAATCAAAACCTCATCTGGTACAAAACAAACATGACCTCAAAAGTCTTGTCTCAAATATCAGGTTTTGTAATTTCTCTAATTCTAGCCTCCGTCTAATATTGTTATATACTTGTTTCTTTATTTCTAAATAAACCTAAACTCTGGTAACCCCCCACCCCCACAAGATTCTAATCTCAAGTGTTCGCCAATTACTGATGAATTTCTCCATAGCACTATCTATTTTCACTTGGCATTTAAAACACATTTTGAATTATATATTTCCTGCTTCCAGGGCAACTGGCGATAATCATATAATGTATAATAGGCAACAACAAAAGTTTGCATTATGAATTTAGCTTCCTTTGAGAGTTTTGAAGCTTGACCGAACAGATTACGAAGGGCTAAAATGATATGAAGTTACACAATAAGATAGTAGAAGACTAATAAGATATTTCAAGGCCAAACAGGAAGAAGGAAATCAATATTCAAACATCAAAATTCAGAGGCAGGGACCAATACTGTTTATTACACGGCACTGTATAATACTGTAATTTAATATAACAATTTTCTCCTGATATGTTGACTGGAAATGAATTCAGTGTCAGTTGATATGTATATGAGTATTGATTGTGTCATTTATTAAACACTGCAGTATTTTTCACCTACCAAAACATTTCCTTTAAGACATGAACCAAAATCCCTGCTAAATGTTTCTGTTCTCTGTAATTCTTAGAGTATAATAACTCTGTGAATGAGAGGCTATCAGCTCTACTGCACAAGGGAATGGAAAACAAGTGTGACTTGAATGTGTTCGTTCCTGACACCATTAACTATGGGAGAAAGAGAAAGGACATTACATTGCCTGGGTCTTGAAAATGCAAATTATTCTATCAGCCCGGTAAATGAAATGTGTAGAATGGCTGTCACCAAGAAATCAGAATAATTTTGTTCCAACCATTTGAAGGAATCTACTATAGTGCTTCTAAGAAGCCAATTACTAAAAAGAGAACATATTTTTTAAAGGTTTAATGATCGGAATCTATCTCCTAAAATTTAAAAAAAAACCCTCCATCATAATACTTGTATAGCACAATAACTGTAAAAAAATTTTGAGATAGACCTTCCTATCACAAAATCTAATTTCACAAATGAAAAGTTTTTTATTTTACTTTTTCCTATACCGATCTCTGACAGTAAAATATTTTTTCTAGAATCTTAGCCTCTCTCTTCTCTTTCCCTATATTATGTTCATTCAATTTCCTTAAAATAAACCTCCCTTTATGAATGTACTGTTCAACTGCAATAGATACCAAACATGATTTCCACCAATCACTTATCCGCTGACTTCTCATTTCTCCCTTTTAATTCTCTTTAACTGGTGCTGCTTGAAACAGAGGATGCTCGAAGAAAAGATGGACCACAAATATATCAGCTAAGATCTCATCTGATCTGTGTGGAATGAAGATTGTCTGGACCAGATAAAGCAAATTGCTTATGCAAAGCAGTCACTACTTAAATTTAACTTAAGGTGTCCTCTTAAGCACTGTTATTCTGCCATCTCCTTTTCCCCTTGGAATAGTTTGCTCTGTAAACATGAAGGCTTGTTTTGAATGGGGTACACATACCAGAAATCAAAACTGGAAGGATCTGGAATTCTGCAGCAGTTTAGCTCATTCCACAAGTGGAGATAAAGTCCAGGATGTAATGTTCTGTGGACATAAGCCAAATAGATAACCAGGCACTCGAAGATACATTTTGTGAGCTGTAGCATTCTTATCACATGCTGACAGCAGATGTGTTGCTACTATATCTCTGCTGACAATTTACCAATGCCTGCTCAGGGCTCAACCTAATCTTGAAAACTGCCAGATAATTCAGCTGCTTTTCCTATTGCGTTTGGCCTATGTTCCTCAAAAGCAGAGTCCAAACAGCGACAAGGAGGCCAATCTCACTCGGCACCATTGTGATGCATAGGGTGTGTCCAAACCCTATAAATAATCACCGTTGTTGCTGGGCACAATACTAGTAAAGTCATGATGACAATGGTACCCAGAATGATTAAGACAATGGCCCAAATGTCCAGAATGTGCTTCGGAAGGGTGAGTTGGGTAGATTCCATGCTCTCCGAGCTACCCATCATCTTCCTGAGTTCTTCCCTAAGGCAAGGAAAAGGGAAGAAAAGTTATCAACTAGACAAAGAAACAAAGCAAAATCAAGTTAGGGTAAGTATGGTGCTCCACAGATTGCTGAGTTGCAACATTCACAATGCTCACCATTGACCGTGTTAATCCAAGGAAAGTTCAAATAAGCATATATTTATTTATTTAGCAATAGCGCTTAGACTTATATACCACTTCACAGTGCTTTACAGCCCTCTCTAAGTGGTTTACAGAGTCAGCCTATTGCCCCCCTCAACAATCTGGGTCCTCATTTTATCCACCTCAGAAAGATGGAAGGCCAAGTAAGCCTTGAGCCAGTGAGACTCAAACTACCAAACTGCTGGCAGTCGGCAGTCAGTGGAATTAGCCTGCAATCCTGCATTTTAACCACTGCCCCACCATGGCTCTTATCAAACTTCTTAACTGCCCATCTCCCTCATTGAGTCTTTTCTTTCCTCTACAGCAGATTCAGCAGTACTGGTGCTTCTTTTAAAGCAGAGAGAACATTTTCCAGAAATCTTACATACATTTTTCACCTCTATTTATATATCATGTAAGTGTTTATAGAAATAAATCATTAAAAGTAAAAAATATCCAGTTTGTGCCAGCAAGGTTATACGAGCCTAATGGAATAGATCACTTTGAGGATAGACACCTGCTCTCACATCATATGGAATTTGATGTAATTTGCTATTTGGTTTCCTAAAACATTTTTATAAACTAGATGTCCTCAATATGTTGTTCTCCAAAAATGTTGGAATTCAAATTGCAGAATTTGGCCAGTATGAGAGGTGGTATTCAGCAGGTTCTGACCAGTTCTGGAGCACCGGTTGCGGAAATTTTTAGTAGTTTGGAGAACCAGCAAATACCACCTCTGACGGGAGATTTTACAGTATCCTTCCCCTGTCACACCCACCAAGCCACGCCTACAGAACCGGTAGTAAAGTATGTTTGTTTGTTCATACCATTGGGAGATACAGTATTCAAGTCCAATGTATCTGGAAGTCAGAAGGTGAGCCTACATAAATATTAGAAGCTATACACAAATCCATGATCATCATTATCTTTCTGAACTACCTAACAAAGTTGTGTTCCTTGTATGGGGGATGGGATGCACATATGCTAAATAAACAATGAAATCCATTTGTACATTGTAAGATAAAACGGATGCTATTCATGTCAAAATGTCCACATTTTTCTCTTTTTATGGAGGCTGGCAATCATTTGTTGGATAGCATCAGGCAAGCTGACTGCATAGAAGGATAGGATATAGACAGAATGACAGAAAACAGTCTTTAAAGTTGGATTGTTGTTTATATTCTCTCTTTTTTTTTCTTCCATTCAATTATGTCCCATTCTCAGAGACTGTCCAGACAAATCCAAGCAGGTTTTTCAGATGTGTTTGCCACTGCTTCCTTCTTAGGGCTGAGACAAAGTGATGGTCAAAGGTCACCAGTTGCCTTTGTTCCTAATTCCCGGTCCCCTAGTTTCTAGCATGATGCCTTAACCTGGCTTTCTACTCTATAGATTAAGCAACTAGTATATATTCTCCTTTCAACAGGAGTATATTTGGGGGAGTGGAAAACCATGTACTCTGAATCTTTTCAATCAACTATGTTGTAAAAGTATTTATTATATGTAATTATCACTTTAATTAGCCCTTGGTTTTATAATCTAATAGAAGGAACATTGTCCTTTCAATCCACATACTGCTTTGTAACTAAGCAGCAAAGAGACAGCTGTTTTAACAATAAGGCCTTCAGGAAAGGGTTCACAGAGTTGTTCTCTGGGGATGTGGGGGAATAGGAGAAAAAAGGAATATTATGCAGGTTGACTCTTTTGAGTTATTTATAAAAATAACAAAGGCTGGATAAAAAATAAATAAATTTAAAGAACATAGGAAAAGTGAGAATAGATAACTATCTACCCCTTCTTGCAGAGTTTCTCTTCCAATATTTTTTTGTGAACCAAGGAATGTTTACAAATACAGGCACAGTAATACATATACATCTTTTTTTGCATCTTTTTTTTGGCTTGTGATAGGGAGGAAAAATATTTTTAGCCATGACCCACTGAAACAAAGGTTAATGCACAGCTATTAGTCAACTTGAAAGGATGAGAAGTGAGTACTGATTGGCTGGCGATCCTTTGGTTTCATCTGAGCTACAAAGGGCAAACTAGTGATCAGCAATTTTATGTGACTCCTTGACTCAGAAACATATACACCACACCATCTCCATATTTGAATAGATCTGCAAATTTTGCCTTAAGCAGGCTTGAGAAGCACAGAAATGGTGGTCATCTTGAAAAGATCCATGAATAAGAAGCATTTTAGAACATTCAATCATTGTCTTATCAAAAGCCCAAACAATACTAGCCCTTCCTACTATCAGTCACCATATAGAAAATCGGCTTTGATCCTCTAGAATTGTAAACTGTGACACTACTCCTAGTTAGATGCAATAGTATGTGAGAATCACTTTGAGGGACAAAGGGAATAATCAGACAAGAAAAGAGGGAGCCCCAGTGTCTTAATATTCAGGGGATGAAATTCAGGAAGAAAATATCTCCCACCCATGGATCAAGCAGTTGAAAGTGGTGGAGATAAATTTGTATCTTCAGGTTAGCATGATTCTGTTAATGTAGCCTTACAAGAAAGTAGAATTAGCTCCTTTAGTCATGCTTCCTGTTTAGTTTACCTGGAAGGATTGACATTAAATCAGGGTGACATATCTTTGTAATACCTGGTTTATCTGTGTAAGGTCAGGCCCTACAATTCTGAAGAGCAAAACAAACACACAAACCCTTTAATTGATCTCAAACATATAAATGTAATTTTCTTGTCAACAATATAGAAATTTGTCATTTTTAGCTTCCAATATTTTTTTCCATTTCATAGATAATCTACAATTGTAGCCTTTCTAAGTCCTGATACTATTATTCATTTATTTAGGATCAGCCGGTGTTGGACAGAATGATACAGATAATCAGAGTTGGAAGGGACCTTGTAGGTCATCTAGTCCAACCCCCTGCCCAAGTGGGAGACCCTATGGATGCACTCCAGTTTCCCTCAATAAAATATTGCTATCTTGAAGGTCCAAGGAAGTTGTCCCTTCCTCTGAAACACCATCTCTAAGATACCCATGGGGTTCCAAAAAGCCTGAAAGATCAGTTTTGTTCCCAGGGCTGGGGGTTACCGTATTTATAGCCAACCGTCATAAATACGAGCCAGTTGTCAAGCATCTGAATGTAAATCAACTGACCTTGGGGATGCTGCCACGGTCATAAGTGTGAAAAATGGTCATAAGTCACTTTTTTCAATGCCATTGTAACTTTGAACAATCACTAAATGAATTGTTTAAGTTGGCGACTACCTGTATACAATGGACAGTTTCATGCTACATGGTTAGTATTTAATGTTTTGCTTTGCTTTGCACTGGAATATTCTATCAATTTAAATGGATTTAAATCTGATTGGCCCATAATTCCAACAAAAGGCGTACAGTGAATAATTTTTGATTGAGATGTAATTGATTTAACAAATATGAAAGGAGACCTGGATACAAATTCCTTTAAACCCCTCATCCCACCCCACCCTACTTTTTAGCTCTAAACTGATCAATTTGACACCACTTTTGCAATTTCTCCTCCAGACTCTGCAGGGGCCTGTTGTGACTTTGACGTCAGAATGAGCAGGTTAAGCTGGAGTCAAGATAAAGACTTTCTTAAGTAATCAAGATCAAAGATAACATTGTTACATCAAAGTTTGTGTGGATTCAAAGGCCAGCTACACCCGTCTTCATGCCTCAAAAGGATGATTTGTTAAAACATAGGCATTTTGTAAGAAGCCTCGAAGCAACCCCCCAAATGAAAAAACGTTCTACTTTACTTTCTCATATTTAATAAGGAGCTATTTTTTCACATTTCAATTTATTAATTGACCATGTGAACAACCACCTAACCATTTGATGTGATTTAACAAAGTCATTTTAACAACTATTAGGAATGCATAGATATTAGCATGTAAAGGCAGTTATGTTTAATCAATTGCTCAGATTCATACATTTTGCAGTCCACCGCCCACAGTGTTTGCTACAGATTTGTCAAAAGTCACCCTGGAAATAAACTTAATTTGAATCCAAGTTTCTCTGCAAAGTCCTTGCAGGTGAAACAAGAATATGGAAGCCTTGATGCCCAATCTTTGTATATATGTGTATTTCTAGAGCACATCTGTGCCCACTACTAGAATTTGAAAAGGGGGTGCACGTGTGCTGAGTTATAGTTACAAAATTACTCAGAACTGGGAAAGTGGGTAAATTGATAGTAGCAAATCAGCAAGGAACAATAACTAAGTGGCAATTTGTTTAGTTATTTATTTAAGGAAATTTATATGACTGCCCAATTCCACTCTCAGGACTTTGGGTGGCTTACAAAGGTAAAAACAACAAAAAGATACAAACAACAAAAAGCAACCCACCCACCCCCCACACTGTCCTGGCAACATCAATCAAATAAGCCTCACTCAAGTAAGTGTCAAATCTTATATCTTCAGGGAACGATGTTTCTACAGGTAGGGAGCCACTATGGAGAACATCCTTCTTCTTGGTCCCAGTAGATATACCTTCTTAGGAGAGGGAAGCTGTAGCATTTCTTGCCTCCTTATTCTGGTGGGTTGGGTAGATGTGACCAGGAAAAGATGGTCCTTCAAATAACCTGGTCCCAAGCCATTTAGGGCTTTAAAGATGGCAATCAACACTTTAACTGGACACTGAAACAGCCAGTTCATCTCATGCAGGTGAGATGACACAAGTGCACAGCTCGGCCTGCACAAAACCATACAAACTACTGCATTTTGAACCGTAAAGTTTTCAGATACTTTGCAAAGGCAGTTTCATGTACAGTGGGTTGTAATCATCAAGGTGGGAGGTGACTAAGGCGGGAATGGCTGTGAGCAGGGATTGTTCATCCAGGAAAGGGCATAACTGGTGCATAACCTACAATTGCACAAAAGCCCTCTTGGCCACGACTCTCACCTTTTCCTTGAAGAGGAGTCATGAATCCAGAAGAACCCCTAAAATATATATTGGATCTGTCTCGATGGCATCCAAGACCAGAGATGGCAATTGTTCATGGACCAAAGAACCCCAAACCCAGAGCCATTTGACCTTGGGTTTAGTTTCAGTCTGTTGCTCCTGGTCCTACCTTCAAGCATTACGAGAGGGATGTCATGGCATCACTGAGCTCACCATAGATGGATGTCAACAGCATACTGATGATATCTCAGCCCTTGGTGGTAGATGATCTCACCCAAAGGCTTCATGTAGATATTAAACAGAAGCAGAGAAAATGCCAAGCCTTATAGGATCCCAGAAGACCAATTGAGGGGGACCACAGAGGAAGAAAGTGAACTAGGGCAACAAAGAGCACCCTCCCCACTCCCAACCCCCAAAGCTGCTCTAAAGGATACCATGGTTAATGATATTGAAGGTCACTCAGAGGTCAAGTAGAGAGAGTATAGCATAATAAAGATAGAGATCATCAAAAAGAGAAGCCAATGTCCTTTCCGTCCCATATCCAGGCTTGAACCCTAACTAAAAAGGGTTCAGATAATCCATTTCATCCAGAAAGCCCTGGAGCTGCTGTGCAACTACTTTCTCAATAACCTTCTCTGGATGGGAAGATTGAAGATAAGATGAAATAGTAAGAGAAAAAGCAAAATAAATAATTAATTTAGGATAGGCTTTCTCTATCTAACGATAACAAGTCATTAGAACCACAAATATAAAGGAACAGGGCTCTCATATCAGAACTGCAAAAAACCTAAAAATAAAATAAAAAAATCCACCAAACAATAAATGGATGACAGCAAACAGGAATATCTACATTTCTTTGCTTCATCTAATGGCTATTTGGAGTTCTTTAGCCCTTTTATTTATACTCTAGTGGTAACTTCAAGATCAGATTTAGGTCTATTCCTAATAGAATCATTGCGATAGCACTGATCCTCAATAGTAATAGTAATTTCTACTATTTCATCTTTTGAAATAGTAGAAATTCTACCATTGTAGTATTGTACTTTCCTTAAAAATTCTCTAACAAAGAAAAGATCCCTACCCCACAAGTGTAATTTTCTACTGTTAAGCAGCTCATGATTTTCGTTAAAGTTTCATCTGAGGATTTCTTCCCCCACTTCATTTGTTGCCAAGATGACATCCCTTTAGGTCTAATGCTTAAGAGCAACAGAACACAAGGTCGCTTATCTTTCTTGTGAAAGTCCTTTAAACGATTCAATATATTTTTCATATCACTTCAAGCTATAGAAGATCTTCAATCTTCCTTGGGGGAACTGCTCCCTAAACTCTTTTGTCACCCCATTCACGCCAGTTACTCATAATATTCTGATATATACCCTTGAGGTCAAAATAAGGTATGCAAAAGGAAAATAAAGCTTACGTATCTTGTGATATGGAAAAAAATGTATTTATATCCGTATCCATTGCTGATTCTCAAAAATATCTGTGCTGCTTAGTACATCGTGCTAAGTTACAACTTATGTGAACACAGTTTCTCAAAGAAACTGAAATTGGCTTAGGTTTAAAATCATGTTTTACAAATGACAATGGTTGTGACTTACCAGGACTCTACTGTACTAAACCAACTAAACCAATGCAACGTGGGAATTATGGCTCATTGTCAGAGGTCTTTTTTATGGAGAGGCAAGCAAAAAGAAGCTAAGAATATCCAGTTGAAGGTGGGGGGGAAACCACCCTGCCGAGCAGTGGTGGGATTCAAATTTTTTTACTACCGGTTCTGTGGGTGTGGCTTGGTGGGTGTGGCATGGCTTGGTGGGCGTGGCAGGGGAAGGATACTGCAAAATCCCCATTCCCTCTTCACTCCTGGGGGAAGGTTACAGCAAAATCCCATTCCCTCCCCACCCCACTAACCTCCTTCCCAGCTCCGTTCTCCTGTGCAGGGCAACAAAAGAAGACCCAGCCAATCAGCTGACACCTGGGAGGCAGAGAATAGATGGGGGCGGGACCAGCCAGAGATGGCATTTGCCGGTTTTCTGAACTACTCAAAATTTCCACTACCAGTTCTCTAGAACTGGTTAGAACCTGCCAAATACCACCTCTGCTCCTGAGCTGCTGCTACAATTTAGTGAGGGGTAAATGAATATAATCCAGTGCTAAAAAAAATTGGAACTACAAAATTAAAAATTCAAGAAAAATAACCCATCGTTTCCTTCAAAGATATCTTGTTAATTGGATAGAAAAATGTGGGAGAGGATTGTAAAAATTATAACTGTAGATAGATGGATTTAAATTCCCTGAATTCTTTGAAATGGCCTTGTTGGGTGGGGAATTCCAAGAGGTCCAAGAAGAGCCTTGGTGGCGCAGTGGTTAGAGTGCTGTATGTATTCATC